TCCACTCACCTCAGCCTCCCAAAGTGCTGGGATTACAGGCTGAGCCACCGAACCCAGCTCATATGTTTTTATATATATATAATATGCATAATATGTAAATATATGTGATAAAGCACCATGATTTGTCATACCATGTAATTTGCACATTTTTTGTCCTGTGCCCCGTGCTAGAGTGTAGGCTCATGGGGGCAGGCATTTTTGTTTTGTTGACTGCTGGTTCTTCAGTCCCTAGAAAAGTTCCTGATGTATAACAGGTGCTGCGATATGTAACCCAACTGATTTGATAATGGCACACGTCCTGTGCTTTGGGAGATACTGCCGTATACTGAGAACACCTCCCACAGTCTCAGTGGTAAGTCCTATTGCCTCTGAGAGTCTGGCTAGTTGGGGGCTCAGCATTTAAGGCAAAGAGAGCTTGAGACTTGGCTGGGTCCTGAGTTTTTTCTGAAGAAGACAGTGCAAGCACCAGGGACATGGGAGAGGGAGGAGAGACAGGCAGGACTGATGGGGAGAGCAACCGGAGAGGAGAGGGCTGTGCCCAAGCACAGAAGGAGAGTGGCCTCCCTGCCTTCCCACAGCCCCGGCAGGCTCTGTCCTGGAGGATACCTAGAAACGGCGCTGGCTTCCACCTGAACTCCGGTACCCGGTTGCACACCTGTATGATGTGCCCCTGTGTTGCTTTCACAAGCTGCCCGCCAGGCTTGGGGATTTAGGGAACAGAGAACCAGCTGTCCTCTTTCAACTTCTTCAGAGGTTAAGAGGGAAACCTGGCTTAGATAGTTGAAAACCATATCCTTGGAGCTTCAGCTGACTTTTAGCTGGTTAAGAGAACACCGTTTGTGTTGGCTATCTCGTGTGACTGTCCCTCCGAGGATTGTCTGAGAATCGTCCCAGTGAATAAGCACACGCTTAGCTGCCTCTCTCCCAGCGCCCTGCTAGTACTTAACATTGATGGTTTTCATCTCACACTAGTCAACTCCAGCCCATCTACATTTAGACATGTGAGTCTTGTATGAGGTTTGCCAAGGGGAAGGGTGGGAGTCTTTCGAGTTTGGTCATCTAGCCCTGGTCCCTTCCCTTGTGCTCCTTCCCCCTGATGTGCAGGTCGATACTGATAGCTTTGTAAGTGGCAAGTCTGAGAAGTGACAATGTCTCGTGATTCTTTGCATGCCGGCATCTTATTCCCAGGGAGTGATAACGAGCAGTGTGCTCTAGGCTTGCAAGTTCCCCTGGAGTTGCTAGTATCTTGAATTTCTTTCCATTTATTTTAGGAGTAAAAGTCCCTCGCAATTTCCGACTGTTGGAAGAACTCGAAGAAGGCCAGAAAGGAGTAGGAGATGGCACAGTTAGCTGGGGTCTAGAAGATGACGAAGACATGACACTTACAAGATGGACAGGGATGATAATTGGGCCTCCAAGAGTAAGCGTCGAGCTACGGCTATAAATGTCAATGTCTTAAATTCACTGTGCCTCCTTTTAAAAAATATTAGCCTTATCACGGAAAAAGCACACCAATGGTATATTTTCTGAAATGTGGCTATTCTTTTTTGACCAGTTTCAGTTTATATATTTGAACTCCTCTGATGCTGTTTAATACCTCCACATGGTAAGCAAAAGCCTGTTTAGACTCAGTGTGTAAATGTGCGTGGCGATGTAGACAGGTGTGAGGTCGGTATACCCTCAGGTGTCGCTTAGTGCAAATGTTGGGCTCCTCCAATGATGACCAGGCTCCAGGTAGAGTGGTGTTCCTGAAGCCAGTCTCTGAGTGCACTTCGGAATCCTTCACGGCTATGGTTCCTTCACTGTCTCCTGGCTCTGCCACACTCCTGGGTCCTAATCCATTGGGCCGTTTGGAGGAGTTCCTGGCCAGCCTGTCAGCTCTGCTTTGTTCCACACACTGTTAGACCCTCAAGCTCTGAAAGGAAGGCCAAAGCAGTGAGGAGGGGAAGTGACCCCTTAGCGCTTCACCACTGGGGAGAGTTCTCAGTCTTTCTAACACCAGCCAGCCTTCTTGAGGACACACAGTAATCCCTCAAGAAATGTCACTTAATTCTCGCGAGCTCCTGTAGTTGGGTGCTCCTCCCATGTAATGCATTCCATTTACAGATGAAGAGACAGATTCAGGGGAGTGGGGTTGCTTGCACAAAGTCCCCCAGCTGATGACTCCCAAGCCAGGTCTGTCTGACCCCAGAGCCTGGGCTCTCAACCACTGGGCCGCCCCGTCTCCCTCTGTCTCCCTCAAAACCAGTTTTCATTTGTTACCCTTACAGAATGACCCAAAGTGTCAAGTAGTGTCTGGATGGAGGAGTCAAGAAATGGACTCCCATCACGTGACACACTCGCCGCCGACCAGCAGAGGGGCCTCGGCCCCTGGGAGCAGAACCTCTCTGTGTCTGCTTGTGCTTAGGGTGGCGGGTGGCGTTCATTGATTCTGACCGCACGTACCACATGATCTGCACTAGCACTGTGGGAGGAGAAAAACGCATCAGTGTGGCCTGGCTGGACCAGGGACCAGGGCATGCTCGCCACTGTTAGGACTCCGTCCAACATTCATCTCAGATGGTCATCAGCACTCAGGAATGGCTGGCTTTGCCATTTAATGCTGCTCCTTGAGTCATTTTGTGACCCTGTAGTTTTGTGGTTTGGGTTTTTTCTAATGTATGCATTTGATGTGTTTTTATCCATTTCTTTATCTTTTTTTCCTATGAAAACCAGAAATTTCACTGTCAAATACTAGGGAAAACCTAATCTAGAAATCCCATCCCTCCGTGGAGGTCATTTGCTTTGCTGCCTCTGAAAGTCCAGCACAAGCTGATGTCCCCCTCACTGCACAACTTCTCTCCTTGAGCATGGTTTAGGGTTCCTGAAGAGGAGAGCTCTTCTTCCCTCCTCCTCATCCCCAGGTTACCTGGAGATGACTCTGCCCAAGGCATTTGTGCAGTAGATTTGTTCACCAGCTTGTTATTCACAGGTTCTGACATATTGAGAGTCGAACCAGTGTGAAAAATGGTGACTGCAGCAAATTCCATTGAATCGTACACCTTAAAAAGACACAAAACAATTGTTTAATAAGTCTGTTGAAAATATTCTATTCCGGCGGGGTACAGTGGCTCATACATGTAATCCCAGCACTTTGGGAGGCAGAGGCGAGAGGATTGCCTGAGCCCAGGGGTTTGAGACTAGCCTGGGCAATTTGACAAGACCTTGTCTCTACAATGAATCAAAAAAATTAGTTGGGCGTGGTGGCACACACCTGTGGTTCCAGCTACTTGGCTGAGATGGAAGGATCGCCTGAGCCCAGCAGGTCGAGGCTGCAGTGGCTGTGAGCGTGCCACTGCACTCCAGCCTGAGCGACAGAGTGACACTCTGACTCAAAAAACAGAACAAAAAATTCTATTCCACCTAAAATATCGTAGGTTACCCTGAATTTCAGTTTATCTCCTTCCAAAGGGGACTAAGTTTTTGTTGTTGTTTTTGTAGAAACAGGGTCTTGCTGTGTTGCCTGAGTTGGTGTTGAACTCCTGAGCGCAAGCAATCCCCCTGTCTCGGCCTTCCAAAGTTTTTATAGGCATGAGCCACCATACCCAGCCCTAAAAAGAGCTAAGTTTTAATGAGCAGCTACAGGAGGCCAGGTGTTTTCCATGCATTTGTTTTTAGTAACAGCCTTATTGAGGCAGAATTCACTCTTTCCAGGTGTACGGTTCAGTGGCTTTTATCACATTAAGGGTTGTGCAGCCATCATCCACTTCAGCGTGTGCTCATCACCCAAAAAGAAGTCCCATGCCCATTGGTGGTCACTCGTCATTCTGCCTCCACCCTTGACAACCACTAATCCACTCTAGCTCAGTGGATTCGCCTCTTATGGGCAGCGTGTGGTCTTTTGTGACAGTCTTCCTGTGTGTAGCATAACTCTTGGCTTCATCCGTGTTGTAGCATCTGTCTGTATTTTCTTTTTTATGGCTGAATAGTATTTCACTGTATGGCTGTGCCACATTTTGTCTATCCATTCGTTGACTGACGGACCTCTGGGTTTGTTTCCATCTTTTGGCTGCTGTGAATAATGCTGCTAGCAACATCTGTGTAGAGGCATGTATGTGGACATCTGTTTTCGGTTCCTTTGGGTGTATGCCCAAGAGTGGGACTGCTGGGGTGTACAGGACCTCTGTGCTGAACAGCTGAGGAATTGCCAGACTACTTTCCAAGTGATTGCTCCATCTTGCACTCCCACTCACAGTGCATGAGGGTTCTGCTGTCTCCACATCCTTACCAGCACTTGTTATTGCCTGTCTTTCCTCCTGTAGTTGTGATTATACTGGTTCCTCAAGGTTCAAAACTAACTCATAAAAGGAACTCTAGGGCTGAGCACAGTGGCTCATGCCTATAATCCTAGCACTTTGGGAGGCTGAGATGAGAGGATTGCCTGAGCCCACAGGTTCAAGACCAGCCTGGACAACGTGGCAAGACCTCATGTCTACAGTAAATCTTTTGTTGTTTTTAATTAGCCGGGCATGGTGGCGTGCGCCTGCTGTAGTTCCAACTACTTGGAAGGCTGATGCAGAAGGATCACCTGAGCCCAACAGGCTGAGGCTGCCGTGGCTGTGAGCCACTGCCTTCCAGCCTGGACAAAAGAGTGAGATGCCAACTCAAAAATAAAAAATAAAGGAACTCTGCTTCCCGTGCTTCTGTGCCCAGTCGTTTATGCTTAGCTTACAAGATCCATGTTATACGCTGGAATAGCCACAGAATGACTGGAGCATCTCAACAGAGCACTTGAGTAATATAATCTCCCTGCTAGACTTTTGCTACTGTTTTACTCCAAAGAAAATCTTCCATCAAAATGTAGAAGGCATGTACCTTGTGATCCAGCGGTTCTGCTAGGAATTCACCCTCCGGTTTTTCTTGAAGTTATTGCCCGAAGGCAGTAGTAGCAAAGCACTGGAAACAACCTCATCATCTCTCAGTAGACCAGGCTATGCACTGTTGAGCTGTTGGAAAAGAGGAGGCAGGTTCACATTTGCTGAGATGCAGTGATCTCCATGGTGCTTATGTGAGAGAGGACCTCACAGAGCAGCACACAGAGCTGCTGCCTGTGGGGCAGGGGGTCGGAGAGAGGATGGGGTCAGACATGCACCTTACCTCCTGAGCTCAGAGCACCTCTGGGTGACAGTGGTGCCTTCTTCCCAAGGGAGCTGCCAGCTAGGGCTAGGGGAAGAAAGCTTAGTATTCACCAACACCTCTCTGAACTCTTGGAGTGTGTTTTTCATCAGGTGTGTGTGTGCGAGCTGTTTGAATGCCCCTTTTTTTTGTCTTAAAGAAAAGCAAGTCCTCTAAACCTAAAAACAAAGCTTCCTACCAGGTGCTTCTTGCACGATTCTGGCAAATGTCCAACCGTCTGCAGCCCTAGATGTGGAGTATTTCTGCTTTGGTCACAGACATGCCCACAGCAGTTAGGACATAGAGGAGGGCTACTAACTGACATGTTGGGCTGGGTCTTTCCTTTGTCCTGAGGCATTGTAGGATTACACAGCATCCCTGCCACTACTCACTAGGTGCCAGCAGCACCCCTACCTCCATTGTGTCAACCACAGATGTCTCCAGACCAGCGTGATGCCCCTTTCTCCGGCAGAGGGCGACCACCACGTCAGTGAGAAGCCCTGCTGCGCCCTGGGCTTCTCCAGGACAGTGTCTGTGTAGGTCAGGGCCTGGTGTGTGGATGCACATCCCCACCCACAGGTGCTGCCCTGCTTCACAGGAGCCAAACGTGGTTGCCGGTATATGGAGTGGGAGGAGCACGGTCCTTTCCCAAGTTGGCATGTGCTCCCACCACGTGAACATTGGCAAGCTGGTGTGTGGTGTGGTGTGATGGAAGCACACAAATATGAATGTACTTCTTTTTTTTTTTTTTTTTTTGAGTTGGAGTCTCACTCTGTCACCCATACTGGAATGCA